AAAGACAGAAAATCAGAAAATGCATAATTACTCTGTAACAGACCTTAACATGAATTCTAACTTTGCATGAGGATTAAAAATCATTATTACTGTTTCACAGTTAATTAAAATGATTAGTTCACTGCAGCATCTAAAATGGTTTGCACTAAAACACTTTGATTATCAAACATTTGTAAAATAGTAATGATAATAAAAAAGAGAGTGTTCTTTCACTTGAATTTTCAAGAAAGAAAGTCTCAGGATGGGTCAACCTGTATTTCTGGATTCAAATCAATGAAATGACAGTTTCTGTCCCATATGGTCCTTAAGGTCAAATCCTGACCTTAGGCTTAGTTCACTACAGTCCCCCCTTTGGAAATCATCGCCTATCCATGGGGATGAATTCCAACCTGAACTTACGCCTTCGAATGTTCTTGAGCTTGATGTAATCCAGCAAGGAAAACAAAAGTCAAAGGATGTAATCCACAATGTTTTTGGTAATTCCATTGTGTTGATGGTAATTCCATAATGTTCTTGGTAATTCCATTGTGTTGATGATAATTCCATAATGTTGTTGGTAATTCCATTGTAGCAATGCTTTAACCCCTTGGAAACAGAGTCTGTAATCCATTGGAAAAAGTCATATAATCCACAACGGTAAATCCACAACGATTGGAAGTGTTGATTGATCAGCATACAGAGGGGTTCCCTTGGATTGAACTGAAGATGCGGCCACTGGATGAAGTGTGGAGACCAACGTCAGGATTGCAGGTCTCCTCCAGCGAAGGTCGTCGCTGGGTGGATGTCCAGTCTGTGCCGTTCTGGTTCAATGTGACATGCAATTATGTGGTTTAAGGTGGGCTTATGAAGGGGATTTTACATAAGGCCTTAAACTATATGCACCTGGTGTGTAAGCTATTATGGTTGGGAACAGCTACAACTACCAGTTAAGGGGTGGAACATGCTGAAAAGGGTAACTATAGGGATTTATACCTATAGAAAAGTGTTCCAAACTATTTTTCCATTCCTAACTGGGTTTAAGTTAGCTTTACATGGCAAAATATAGTTTGGTTCAATTGTCTGTTGTCTTTTAGACGAACGACTTGAGATTGGGTGTTTGGTTTCCCCATAAATGTTTT